TCCTTAACTCTGTGGGGTCGTCCCATATCGAGGACAACGAGATATACAGGGAACATGGGGGATAAGGTCCGGGGTTTGGGTTGATTAAATAGGCGCGTTAAGACAGCTGCCACACACACATACGCACTGGATTGCATGTGTTATGTAATCAATGAATCAAATGATTTGATTTATGATTGCTTTTGATTTGCTCCACTCACAGCCACAACTTCCCGCTGCTAAATGAATTATGTACGGGACTGCGGATTAGAAATGTATGCGCCCCTCTGGTTTTTGATAAGATTTGATAAATAGTTGAATCCTTGCTGTGCCAACAATATTAAATTTAAAATTACACGGGAAGAAATGAAAATTAATAAGCATTTACTATCATGTATGCTTTAATATACAAGCAAATACACACAAAATTTAAATATTGTATTTAAAAAAAATTATATTTTGCATTTACTATCATGTAAAATTACAATCAGATTCTAAAGCATTATTGTGCAAGCAAATACACAACAAAATTTAAATAGGTTTTGACATTTTATTATAACATCTTTCTATGAAATGTTAAAGCCTGTTATTCTGAAAGTAAGCAAAAGATTTTCTTTTTAATATCAACATAAATACCTGACAGCGTTTGAGCATCAAATCTTTAATTGATGCGTGAAAAATGATTGATGGACTGAAAAGACGAAAATATAGGTAATCTGATTGAAAAACCTGACGGGTCAAGGTTGCAGAATTATGATTTCCGTTTCGTTTTCCATTGTTATTTGGAGATTTGTGGAGCAGCACGTTAAGCTGGACCACGCCCCTTGTGGAAAGCTGTTTATTTGCCTGTCTGCGTCTGGGGTCTGCATTTCGGTGACATTTTCGCCATTAGCCAAATGTCAATGCTCGACGGCGAGTGGTAAGCACTTATAATAGATGGGATATCCAGTCGGTTGCCATCGGCAACAACAAATAGAGCCCATGGCTCTTGGTTTCTGGCTGTTGGATGTTGAATGTTGAACGTTGGCTGTTGACTGTCAATTGGAGGATTGCGTGGAGTGCAGACGCGGATGCGGATGTGGATGGGCGATAAAAGAATGCCACTAAGGCCATTTGATTGCCGGCATTGCCTTGCATTGCCCCACCAACTGCAGTCGGCGTATCTTCGCCGGATCCTGACAGCGAAATCTTCCCAGGGATAATTTGAATAATTTCACTGACCCAAGCCAATCACCCATACCAAACCAGACCAGCCCAGACCAGACCAGACCAGACCAAACTCAAACCCAGAGCCAGAGTCAGCTCCCCCTCACGACTGACAAATGGCTTTTAAATCACCTGTCCAGACTTGAGTTAAGAGTTCAGCGCTCTACAGATTTCTTTTTGCATACTTAAGACACTTGGCGCGTTGACTTGCAATTCGCTGCAAGTGGAATGGATGAGTCCTGCCATTTCCATTTCGCCATCCGCCTTTCCATCCGCTATTTATGGCACGCACGTCTGCCAGCAGGGCAACGCGGCGTATGCGTAACCGCAATGAAAAGCCGTATGCCGTGTCCAACAATGAGGTTTAACACGTAGAAAAATATAACAAAATAAGGCTATAATTAATATTTTTAGTTATATTTTGGTAAAGGGAAATTTATAAAAAACATAAACAATTAAATTGTTCAGCAATGAACCTTGACTTGAAACTTACTTGCTGATTAAATGCGGACTAAAAATGAAAATGAATAATGTTAATATTTTAATGATTTATCACTTGACATTATAGACTATATGAATAGGAAAGTGAAGTGTAATACAATGTGGTACTTTAAAGGGACAAATGGTTCTCCGACCTAATGTTTTTTTCTCTGTGCATCGTCAGTTTCGGCCTCAGTTTCAGCTCATCAGGAGTTTTGCCAGGATGACGGCTTATTATCAGCAACGGCAGCACTTTGCACGCCCCGTAGCACATGGAAATTGTTGGGGCAAGTGAAGGGGAGGGCAGGGAAGCAGGTGGAACTGTGTTTGGCAGAGGAATGCATGCACTTTTGTGATGGATTAACCGGCGCTTAAGCTGCAGTCGAGCGATAAGTGCCGCTCATGGCAGGCCATTTTGTGTGATGCCGCTTTCGCTGCTGGCTGTGCCGCCCAGGATTTACCCCACCCCGAATGCCACACCTGCCACACCTGCCTCAGCTGCCACACTTTCTACATGGCCACCTGCCGCGATGGGCAAATGGAGGTGAGCAACTGTAACGGAAGCTGGCAATGAGAGTCGTTTTAAAATTGAAATGTAATTTCCTGCAGCGTGTGGCACGGCTGGAAATAGACATTCGGGATGCAGGATGCAGGACGCAGGACTCAGGACACGGGGATCCTGGGAAATGGCAATACCCGTGCGATCCAACAGGACACAGCTCATATGAATATGAGGAATTCGCAAGGAGCGAAACTTCATTCGAATGGCAGGCACGTAAGTCAAAGTCAGGGATACTCATAAATAAGTTAGTTGGCCCTTAGGAAATTCTCTTTATTGCAGGGCGGAGGCTTGAGGCGGTGGTTGCCAGGGGGCGTGGCTGGCTGAGCAGTTACTTGATTAACTTTGCCACACTAAATGACAAATTTTGACATCAAGACTTCAATTTTATTAAAGAGATCACAAAGACCAAGGCACAAAAACTGTACGTTTTGGTTTTTGATAATAATAAATTAGGCTTTTTTTTAATTAATTAATTTATTTTATCTTGCGAAGTGTTAGGAAAATATCTTTAATATGCTAATTTTCTAAGTAACAGCAAAACTTGAAAAATATCAATTTTTGTAGAGCTATTTATAATCATATACAAATATTTTCTGCTATGAGTTTTTAAGGACATACAAAGACTTAGATATCTATAATTATAAATGTTATTTATCATGATTCCCTTGTTTCTCCAAATCTAAAAACCCAGTTACCAGAGTATTTGGAGCAAAGTTTTTTAACTCTGACAAAATCTGTTATGTCTTTTTGATAAGTAACAACTTCCCAGCTTATTTGCACCTCATTAACAGGACAATTTGCCGCCCAATTAAAGCTCGAAAACAGATTGACCCCATTGCTTTGCTCAGGCTTCCCGACTTGAGCTTGACTAATTTTACACATGTACAAGTGATTGTGTCATAATGCAGATTCGGTTACCCTTATTGTTGCAGCTATTAAATAGATTGCTTGTTCTATTGTGCACTATTGCCTCCATCCATTATTCTGGAATGATAGGTCCGCAATTGGTCCCTGCCCCCTGTAAACAATCTCTTAGCCAAGGCCAACATAGATGCTTAAATGCGTTTCGTGACCGCCGGCACTCGTCCGTTGTTGCATGTGGATGCGTTTGATTGGTTTTAAATTACATTTCGTAATCGGTTCTAGCTTCGCAACGGACCAAGCGGCAAAGGACTGCATTGCAATGCCCAATAATATTCATATTCAAATTAATTATGCACGGAAAAAGCGAGGTCAGTTTTTTGCCCCCACAGATTATGCAACTGCAGAACTGTGGCCATTAGATATTGGCATTTCGAGTAGATCAAACGAGAGCGTATGCAAAGCAATTAAATTAATTGGATTATACATATATGTATGCAGAAGTATTTGCGATATGAAATTCCATATTTGAACGTAATTATTCATGGAGGCAGCCATGCCCGATTTCGGTAATTCGATAATGGTGACATTTTGCATTAGCATTTGACACAGATGACATGGCCAGAAACAGCTCGATACTCGAACTTCTTCCCTTGGGCGCTGCTGTTGCCAAAGTTTGTGCAGCTGCACTTCCGTTGCGATGACGGAAGAGCCAGCTCCGTTGGGTAAAACAGAAAAATCAAAGGGGATGGGATGGGAGGGTGGGTAAAGATAAACATTTGCCACACCGGCTGCTGCTGCTGCTGCTGCTGGAATGGCCATCAATGGCAGAAACAGAATCGCGCCGCTGCACGACAATCATCGATGAATTGGACGGGCAAAGTTTTCGTTTTCCAACCGGACGAGCGACTCCATCTCCTGCGATTCCGATTCCGATTTCTATTCCTACTCCAACTCCAACTCGGACTTTGGTCGCTTGTCTCAGCTGGTGTTCCTCCTGATGCTCTCCTACTCCGCCTACTGCGAAGTTTACTACTGTTGAGAAATTACTTATTTTTCAATTGTTGGCCCTTGCTGGCCGGAATGGCATTTGGCATTGTTGTAGCCGCGCCGGCATTGCCATTGCCATTGCCGTGCAATCTTGATTACTGTCAGTGGCAGCAGTTGTATTTAAAATTGGCTAACAAGTTGGCTTCCCTGGCCGGGCAAAAGAATCCCGGCGATGCTCGTTTGCCGCCGCCATTCTCTACTCTCTCTCGGGGGGTAAGCATATTTTTGCTGTCCTTTTATGTCCTTCTGTGGCGGCTTTAAGTTTGGGTTGGCTGTCAAAAATACTACTTTAATTTGGTGGCTTACAATTCTGTGTTTGTAATTAACTCAATGAGCCACTAGTTACTATTTTATACAGAAGAAAGCTAGACTTAATGCAAAAAGATTTGCTTAGTGCAGAGTTACCTACAAAGCATTTTTAAAATCTTTAGAATAATGTATTCTGTAAGCTTTAACGGTAATTATTATTTAAGCAATCATTATGTTGAGTTTTCTGTTCTAAATAAAACTTAGCTGAAATAAATTAAATTAATTTTGTATTCATTAATACTCCTTATGAGCTCCTGTTATCATCATTTTTCACGCATATTAGATAACTTTTTGTTAAAAAAAAAATATTGCATATTTCACTAATTGCTGTGACTCGCTACTTTCGCATTTCCCCTCAGTTGTTGAAAAATTAATTGTTACGAAAAACTCAAAAAAAAATTGTATAGTGTATTAAAACTTCTGGCCTTTTACTATTTGTTCCATGTTACTTTTCATTTGGTTTTGGCCAGCCGCCGTTTCTTTGTTGCCTTTTCCCCATTTTCCCATTTCCTTTTATGCAACCACCCCTCCCAATCTGCGAATTTTCGCAATGATCTGTCCGGCCAGAAATGTAGCCATTTATTTTGCACCCCAAAATCTCACCGCCGCACAAATGTTTGCCTGTGCCTGCTGCTTTTGTATTTCAGATGCATTGTGTACATTTGTTTGGCAATAATTTGATGTTCATTGGGATATTGCCATATTGCCGTGATTGCCTGCGGGTCATGACCATCAAAACATTTGTAACACGGCTGCCGCAATTAGGGCCTAATGAAATGGCCCACGAAATAAACGTTTTTCTTATTGCGAATTGCGAAAACAAAAGGGCGGTCGGCTTTGAAAACTTTGCGATCGGGATTATTTTTCACCATTTCTGGTTGGAAGTCTAAAACATGGAAAAGTAAAATAAATGTGGAAAAAAAAAACCGAATAGTTACCCTTTTCGGGACCAGCTTCACAGCCAGTTTCGTTGACATTAAGAAATAGTTTGTGCCTGGCCTCTGAAATCCTTTGTGGTGTTTTCTTAGCAAAAAGGCCACTCAAATCCGCTTGATCAGCCTCAAAAATGCGATTGATGCCCAACTAAAAAATATATAAAATTCAAATTGTATTTAAAGCTAAATGTAATTGTTTTTCTTACCTTCCGTAGTGGTTCTATTAGGTCTATATCGCTCTCTATTCGAAATTTGGGAATCGTAACATCCACGTCGTTCATCAGACTTTTGGCAGCCACCTCATTCATGTCTAGCTGTCTCAGTTTTTCCTCCAATTTGGGCAGTCCGTCAATATCCCTTGGCAGTATGATCATCATGGTCAAGTTGGACTTCTCAAAGGGCAACTGCAAAATCTGTGACTTTAGTTTCTTGGACTCGCCATATCGAAACTGGCCAATCTGCTGCATCATGGGCAGTTCCATTCGCTGCAAAGGATTAATCCAAAAGTCATCAAGTTGGGTAAGTTGCCCAGGGAAAACTTTGTCCCATTTGGCACGGAAGAATAGGGAGTTGATCAGAATCACACTGGACTCGGGATTGAAAATCTCTGGTCTGATTTGATTGTGCATAGTGTAAAATGTTTGCTTTTCAAGCCATTTATTTACTTTTTTCACCGAATCTTCGGGACTCAGGTAATTTAGGGGATCAGCCTGAGCATTAAAGAACTCCATGGCGCGGTTATTGAAGCCCGGCAGTATTTTCTCCTCTTCATTAAAGTACAACCTGGTGACCAAACGCAGGGCTACTCCCCTTTTTACACACGCACACTCTTCACTCCAGGATTCAGCATGATGCTCGGCTATCTGTGACTTATTGCCCACTCCAAGAATCAATTTGGAACGCAGTTCATCGGCACTTTTCCCAGCGGCGCCCATGAACACCAAGGTCATGGCACTTCGGGCAGCTGCCGGCGAAACCATCAGGTTCACTGGGGGACCATCATCGTTGAGGGCCCGGAAAAGATTTCGGGCAAAGACTATTGGACTGGCGCTTAGCGATGGCGCCGTAGTTCCCCCCGAGGCCATTGGAACCAGGCATATGACCAGGAAAACTAGGAAAAACACAGGCACAGTAAGGTGGGATTTTAGGAAAGTAAATGAATTAAATTTCACAAAATATCTCACCCCATTCGCTTGGCATGTTGCGATCTAACTGAAGCTCATCGATGCTCTGTAAGCAATAAAACAATGTGATGTGGGTGCTGAGTCACCAAACTTGTTCGAGATCATCTCTGAAGATTAAGTCGCAACCAAACCGGTTACTTTGGGCCTGCAATTAATCAAAAATATGTATACACAGGAAGCCCTTACAAAAACTTAAGTTCTTTAATTTAAAATGTTAAAAATAGCTGTTTAATAACAGAGTTTTTTACGATGCTCATAATTATCTTTAAAAAGAAACATCAATTTAAATAGGAAATTTCATAAATAAGTTCTTAATCTTTAATGTTAAAAAGTATTCAATTATAGCTTGTGGTTACTCTGTGTTAATTTGATTGATTTTATATTTAGTTTCGTTTTTCAGCGCAGAGAAGCAACTAAGCTCTTCCGAGAACAAATTAAACGGTTTGTATGATTTCATTGTTTTGAATATCAGCATTATTGTTATGGAATAGTTGTCGTGCTCGTTGACGCTGTCGTTGATTTTAGTCAGACGCTTTTGTTTTTCATTGTTGTTAAGCTAGGTTGGTTTTGCCGGCTCGCATCGTTGCCAATTTTTTGTCTCGACTGGCAAATATTTTCGCAGCCCTCGGGATGAGGGGTCAAATTGGGAGGAAACGGGGGAAATCGGGGGAAATAGATGTGGAAAATCGGGGGAAAATGCAGTGGGGCTTGGCATTGTTATTTGCATGCCACGACAGCAAGTCAATAATGTCAATGTATTGGCAGTTGCTTTGGCGGTTCACCAATGGTCCTTCTCTTTCTATTGGCAGCTGTGAGCATATGCCGCTCTCTTTCTAATAACCATTCACTCTACCCTTCTCTCTCTGTTTATGGTGTTCGTGTGTTTATGCGGGAGTGACTTAAATGATGTCTACACATTCCTAGTTGACAGTGAATGGCCCCCTCTCATTTTGTGCCCAGTCTACCCCTCTCTTTCTCCCATACTCTAGCCGTCTCTTTCTCATAAAGAGACTGCAGTTATGCATTGCTGTGCACAGATTTCGCGCTTGATTGCTCTGCTTATGCGCCTGATGCGTTTTGTATTTATATTTCAATTTCATTTCGTTCACCTTTTGACGCCACGATTTCTACATGTCTAGGCACCTGCCTTTTGTCTTTGCGTATGTGTGTGAGTATATGTGTGTCTGCTCTGTGTGTTTGTGTGTGTGTGTGCTTTCCATTCAATCATGCATTTGTTCATGCACTCGGCTGCTAGCGCAAATGAACAAATTTCACGTCTGATTGAGCCATTTAAGTGCGACGACTCGCCTGCCTAATCGACCCCCATTCGCCATTTTCCCCCGTTTTCCATTTCCCATTTCCCATTCGCCATTCCCCATTCGCCATTTTCCATTTTCCTTTTGCCATTATCAGGCAATTTCAATGGATTTACAAATGCGTTTAATTTGCAATATTTTGATCGCATTATGATGAGTCGAAACTTTTGCCCATAATAATTGAATTCTTTTGTCTTCGTCACAGGCAACTTCTTCATCTTCGTTGCTGTTCAAGTGCGAATTCGCTGGGGTATCAAATTCAAATCGCGAACTAATTGCATTTTCATCAAGTAGGAAGTGGCAAGTACCCCAAAGCGCCTTAAGGTAGGCAGCATATTCCGCGTGGCTTCGATATTTTCTGTGTTATGCGGCTTTGATGGCTTAGGCAATGCCGGCAAAATGAAACAATTCGCCAAAGACCAAGTTGGGGTGGGGGGATTTTCCACAAGGTTTTCCTGTAGCTTTTCCTGCAGCTTTTCCCCCAACCAACCAACCAACAGCTGCTGCATCGGAAAACTCACACAGAAATTTAGCTCGGCTGCCCCCTTCAGGCTATCATTTTCGATTGCGAAAGTTTCTGTGTGCTGTGTTGCGGTTGCCGCGCATCGAGAAGTACTCAGGCAACTAGTTTGCGGCTCGAAACCCCTTTTGCGATCCGTTCCAAAAGCTTCCTTGAAGGAGTTCCTCACAGCAGCAGACCGCAATAAATACGAAATTTGGATAGAATATGCTCAATAGTCGACAATGGTGAATTGATTGCCTCGACAGTGTTTGGGAATTAACGTTTTTTGGGCCTCGGCATATATGGTAATTTGATCTGATGGCCAAATCAATGTAACTGTAACTGTAACTGAAACTGAAACTGGACCTTATTCAGTTTGTGTCTAGCAACTACCGAATTCTATTTGCCCAATTCTCCAGCCGATGTGTGACTTTGTAGCTTTGTCCATTTGATTTGTGGTCCATTTTGCAGTTGAAATCAAACAGCAGGCGGAATTTGGCAAATAGTAAACAAAACGGCAGGCTAAATGGCAGAGTGGGCTTTCTGTAAGCTTCGACAGCAAACTGCAAACTTCAGGCTGCAAATGTGTTGCAACACGTTGTCACGCATACGCACCGTTGCACCAGTGGAGGTAGCTGCACAAGCACAAGACGCACGACGAGCTCAATAATTAATTGTTGTTCCACACTTGGGCTGCAATTGAAATTTTGCATGAAAACAACCTATCGGTTCGAGACACGTACGCACACACCTATTTATTTATTAATTAAATCATTCATTGTTCAATCAAACTTCTGGGAATTCTATTTGCCGGGCACTCGGTGAGGTGAGTTTGAGTTTAAGTCCCCGAGCTGTTGTCGCAGGCATTCATCATTTAATTAGTTGTACAGTTTGTGCGGCAATTGTCTGATTTGCGGTAAATAATTTCAATAAATCAAGAGCAACAGTTTGTGTCTTTTCGTGCACGGGATTTTGGTTTGTTGGGTTTTCGTTTTTGGATTTTGGGCTAGGTTTGGGTTTAGATTTTAGGTTTGAGTCCTGAGAGCCGTCTGAGCTGAAATCAATTGATTTTCCTCCATTTTCACAACGTTTGCTCTTTCTATTCTCGTTGTTTTTTCCTCCTATTGCGCTGCTGATTTCTGTTTATATTATTTCGAGCTCTTTTCAATTTGTTTTTCAGTGCTTCCTCATTTTTGTTGGCTCCAACTACTGTTTCCGTATTTTTCTCGTATTTTTTCTCTCCTTTCGGTTGAGGCAAAATTGTTTGTATTTGTTTAGGCTTATGGCCAAGACGATAAAAACGTCTCAAGCGCAGACAAATGCCCAGAGAAAACAAGTGAATGACGCTGACTTGGCGCATTCGAAGTTCGGTTACTCTTCAGAGATTGAAAGCAAATCAAATTGAATGCTAAGAAGTCATTGTTGGATACAAAAATGCAAATAACAAGAGTCGGTCTTCAGATACAGATTAAGAGATAATGTCTCTAAGCCGAAACAATTGTAAAGTTTGTAAGAGCTTTAAATAAAAATCAATGATTTAGCTAAGTTCATTCAAGCCCTACCCAACGGATGTACTGCAATAACTCTTTTAATTGATAGCTAAAATATTATTTAATGATTTTATTGGTACATTTCTGTTTATCAGATTTTTATTTGATTTTGTCAAATATAAGTACGTTCCTGGTAGTTAATCTATTGAACATATAAAATTACTCTATAAAAAATATATAATAAAATATATGATTTAGTTAAATGAATTTAATCGTTGAGCTGATAGTACAAATATTATATAACGATCTTATTTGTACATTCCTATCTTAAAGGTTTTTTTTATGTTGTCAAATAAAATTACTTTTCTGGTAGCTTATCTTTTTAATATTTAAATGAACTTAAACTTATACCTTTGTTTGTTGTTAAAGCTTACCTTAAGCTGAAGCTGGTAAGAGTATCAAAAAGAAGGTTTGTAAAAACAAAAGAAGCACAATTTGATGTCTGAGCTTGACTGCAGGCTAGAGTGGGATGTAGATGTATGTACCTATAGGTATTACGGACGACACACTGACATGTGTGTTAGTACTGCCAAACACATATAAAGTGCCACGTGGAGCGGCAAGGACATTTACAAATACAGATCCAGATGGAGAGAGTTTTGTAGTAGACAGTGGAGAGCCTCTCTAGCAGTCACTTCTATAGACATTGGCTAAATTTAAACAGCACAAGCACAAGCACACACCAAAAACACACTCACACTCACTCACACACACACAGCCAGAGCTGAAGTGAAAAGCGAAGAGCTACATTTCCTGTGCCTTTCTTCGATTTGATTTTTCATTTCCGCTGCAAATGGTGACAAAGTTGGAAATCTCTCAAAGGTGAGTGGGATGGGGGTAAGGGGAATTGGGTGCAGAGGAAGCCTGTGCTTGACTATTTGTATGTTGTGTTGATTTCTCGTGAAATATCAATACAAGCCAAGCACCAAAGCAAACAGAGGCAGGCAGATATGGAACCTGGAACTGCAGGGGAATAGCACGAAGGGGGTCACACATCCACATCCCGGACTTCGTCCACTTCAGATTTCCAAGTTGCAGCCGCTCAAGTGAGCCGGCGAGAATTGTCCTTGGGAGCACAGAGAAAAAATCACCTTCTACTGGATGTCTTCTAAAGTCGGTCGGTTGTTAATTTACTAGTTGCCATTACATTGACAAATGCTCAGCAATTTGCTTAAGCAGATTTTAAAACCACTAAGCTTGTTTGGACTTCAACTTTTTAGTTGCAACATATTTAAGGCCTTTTAAAACCCGTTAAAACAGGGCTACTTTAATATCTGCTTGAAAAACAAGGAACCATGTCTTAAAATCTTAAAAATTTTTTAAATATGTTTAAGCTTCAAAGGAGTAACCCTCCATTAAAACTATTAAAAAATCTACAAAGCTATTTAAGAAAATGGGTTTTCTTGAGAAAATGGGTTTATTAACACTCTAATTAAAGTGAATAACAAATTGTGAATACATTGAAGATATTATATGTAGAACTGATAAAATAAGTGCAAGTTAGTCCAAAAATAGTTCCCAACGAAGAAAAGGTTATACTTTACGATTTCGTAATCTCTTGTCGGCCCATATATTTGATTTTTAATTTTTTATGTGTAAAATTGCTGCCCAAATTTTCTGCTGTGTTGGGAATTGCGGGGCGACCAGCTTTAGTGGGCAAATTTAAACAA